CATATCAAAAAGTTGCTTGCTTGTGGATTGTGGGTTGCATGATTTGTGCCTGGAGAGCAGCAGTGTAAATGGCACTCGTTTGAGCCTGTTTTAGTACCATTTTAACAGTATTTCCAGTACTTTCCAGTGACGTATTGGCTAGTCTTTGTAGGATTTGGACAGTACTCCCAGGGGTATTTTTGAATAGGTCCTTTCCTTTCCTTGATCCCCAAGGCCTCAGCAAGAAAGGCTCCCTTTGCCCCTACTCATGGACTATGTGCTGAGCACTGGAACGCTGTATCCATTTCTTTCAGATTTAGATCTAGCAGTCAAATTGTATGGATTCATAGGCAAATTTTTGGTGCTGTTGCTGTTTTCTTTTACTTAGCCCAATAACACTTGTGCCCCTCCACATGAAATATTGCCTCCTCTAGAGTAGCTGGACTTTGCACAGCAGAAACAATTTGGAGGAGAAATCTGATGTTCAGAGTAAGATGTTCTTAGCTCCAATTCCATTAGTTGAAAAGTTGGTGTCTTTGGATGCAATTCTCTGTGCACTTACATGGGGGTAATCTTAAGTGAACACACTGGGGCATACTTCTGAGTGTTATTATCAGTAGTAGCACTGTACTACTACTATTATTTCCCAAAGGAGCCCAGGAAGGCAAGCACATTAATTTTTTAAAAATACATTTTAAAAGCAGTTAAAGAAATTCTCTTAAACAGTGATTTCAAAGTTGCCAGAAACAGTATCTTTTAGCCATCAAATGACTAGGTAAACAGGAATGGTTTTAAATCCTCCTGAAAGTCACTAATGAGGGAGGAAGATGCATCTCACCAGGTGGAGGATTCCAGAAATGGGAAACCACCACTGAAAAGGCCCTGTCATGGGTCAATGCCAACCAGGCAGCCCCCTCTCCACACTGTGTTGTTAATATCTTGACTCCCGACTCAAAGTTGTAGCTGCTTTAACTACTTTTAACTACTGACTTTTTATGTTTCTGCATTACTGTGATAACTTTTGCACAGCTGTGATAACCAGGATATAAATATATATTTTTAATTATTGCCACCAATAAATAGGGTTGTGGAGGTTGCAGAAAGTTTTATGTGTGTGTCTGAAAGAGAGAGAGAAAGAGAGAACTAGCAGGGGCAGAACAGTAATGCACACAGGTCATTTATTTAAGCCCTGGGGCCAGTCCAGCACAAGTGCAGCTGAGTACCAATGATATGGCATGTGCGTTTGCCAAACATACAGAAGTCATGTGGAAGGAAGTTTGACTCATGGAAACCAAACTCAAATCTCATCCAGAGAGTTCCAAACAGAGCTTGTTGCATATTTGGCAACACACACAATGCAAATCTTTCCCATGTTGTGGTATCAATTTGAGCCATATAAAATACAAACTGGTTTTCCTGAATGACCATTGAGCCTCCCCAAAGGGGGACTTGTATGATGCTGTACTTTTCTGCCCTTATAATTTATCAGGCATTATCTGTTAAGCCTCACGTGATATATGTTCCATATATATGTGATGTGATGTGTGTGTGTGTGTGTGTGTGTGTGTGTGGGAGGGTACACACACACACGCATCAAAGGTCAACATCAATGTGGTTTCTGAGTAATTTTGCCCCATTAAAATGTTACCAAAGGCAGATGTTCCAGCAGGGCCCACAGGATTTATAGAGTCACTCTCCAAAGAACATATTAGCAAATATGACTGTTCTCCTGCTGAATTGTTTGCACTCTGCTTTTTCAAAAGCCTCAGTGCCCACCCCAGATTAAAGCAGCATGTTGAGCCTCCAATGAAGATGCCTTTCAACGATGCAAAACCACTAATGAGAAAACATAGACAAAAGGACAGCCAGCTTCCTAAGGCCCCATTCCTCAGTTCTGAAATACCACCCGGAGTCTTTGGTCGCATTGACCTGATAGACTGGGAGGTTTCTAGACCTGGAAGTTGTGTTTTCCATAGCCCCGATATCTCCTACATTTATAGCAGAGAGACAACAGGAAGAAAGAGAGAGGAACTGGAGAGCAAATTGCTCATTTTTTGTGTGTCAAGCTAGGGAGACCTCATCTTCCAAATGTTCCAGTAATTAGCCTCACTTTCTTGGCTGGTGTTAATTTGTTCCAAGTATTTGGGCTTTAGATCTAACCATGGGAACCTTGCTTCCCTGCAAAAGCCTTGCCAACTGTTACTAGACGTTTTACCACACACATGCAGGCCAAAAAAAGCACAGCTAATGACAGTGTTTGCTTTGCAATGTGAAATGTATTTGTTATGAGTTCAGTGTCTCCTAATGAAGGAGGGGGAGGAGAAAGTGAAGGAAACTTGTGCGTGTGCGTGATGTGTGCGACCCTGCACAGCAAGGCTATTACTAAACCCAATTCACAAAATCAAACCTACCTAAAACGAACCAACTTCTTTGATATTTGATTCCAAATACTCTTGATCCGTCAGCTGTGGACATGCCTCAATTCCTCTGTTTTCAAAACATGTCTAAATAGGAAGGATAATCAAGATTTTGCCTGCTGTGACTGTTGGGTCAGACTCTCTTCCAAGGTTGAAGTCAGGGATTCACAGTGGGAGAGAGAATTGCTCTCATGGCCAGCCTCAGAAGAACCTTGCCAACTCAACGAAGGCTCTTATTTAAGCTCTTATTTAAGGCTCAGCTTGAAGATGACTGCTGCTGTAGCAACCTCTAACTCGGGTCTCATGAAGTCTCCAGCCTGAGCCCTGCATGGAGCTGTCCAGGGTAGTCTTGCCTCTGCTGAGGTCAGTGCTCACAGCAGATCAATGTCCTTCATAGTATTTTGTTGTTGTTGTTGATTTTTTTAAACAAATCTTTGAGGGCTACTTGCTGCTGTTAACATTCATTTCATGAGAACAATTTGCTCACTAGAGTGTTTCTAATGATAAGAGTCTCCAGTCACAAGGTTTACCAAGAACATTCAGATCGGCACATTGACAATACACTTGAGAATGTAAAGAGGATGAAAAGTAGTGGTATTATCCAATGAAGGCTTCTGCAGGACTCAACTCCCAGATAGCCCACTTTCATATTGACCGTAGCTGGCTAGAAAATGAAATACTTCAAGTCATGTCTGAATCTCTGGTAGGGCAACAGTTAGTCTTGGTTTTGATTTTTTGACTTGTCACTGTTTTCATGCATCCATCTTCTTCCCTTTTTTATTGATTACACAAAAAAATTAATAATACATAAAACTCCTATTTTGCTTTTGAATATATGATGTGCTTCACACACATTTTCTTGTAATTCTTACAACATCAATATTGCAGATAGGAAGCTGATGCTAAGACAGGTTGCTAGGGAGGAGGCAGGGAAGCGGTACAATGACAACAGAGAGGATTATCAAAAGGGCTTTCTTTAAATTCCCGACTCTTTACAAGCTACTGAGCATGCTTGGGCATACCACCGCTGATGGGAACTCTGAAAACTGTAGTTTTGTACTCCTCCTCCTCAATATCACTAGAATATCACAAAAGTTGTAAGAATTACCCTGCTGGATCAGACCAGAGACTTGTGTAATCCAGCATTTTGACCAACAGTGGTGAGCCAGTAAATGAAAATGAAGGTCCCTTTGGCATTCAGAGGTTCATTGTTTTAATTCATGGTTGAGGTATCATGGTTAAGAGCTGTTCATGGGTATCCTCCCCCTTCAATTGATTAAAAAGCAATCACATGGCGCAGAGATGGTGAATTTTATGAGCCAAGGATGTTTTGTTAAAGCAAGCTTTCCCTGTCTCAGCCCTTAAGGTATTATATATTTCTATTCCATCTATTTCAGATCCGTACATAACAGTAGAGATTAAATATGGCAATGACACAGAGACTGTGTATTTTGTCTTATGTGAAATCGTAGCTTGCAATGTCTTCTGCCCAAGACTATTTGACAAGGTTCCCATGTTGTTGCTTCTAGCCTTTCAACTTGGTATAGAATGAACTTGACAGCGAATCTGAGCCATAGGTGTTGCTGTCCTTTACCTTGTTTCCAGCTTATTTTGTAAGCAGGATGCATACCAGTCTTACTTAATCTTACCGGCTGAGAACGGATTTTCTGAAAATGTCTATTTATGGTGTCTTTTTCATATTTTCTGTAGCCTTGTAATGGCATTTAAAGCTAAGTGTGGTTATAGTCCCGGCACAGTGCCCCACCACAGAAACCACCTCTTGCAACTTTGCTCTTGGTCTGAAAGGGTTTAGTTGTAAGCCGGCAGCATTCTGGCGAAATTATCTTGCGGTGTCTTGGAAGCAAAAGGAGAGATGAGGCAGATCATGGAAAAGTGGATTGAGGGTGACCTTTCTATGTAAGGCTCCATCACAGGGAAATATTTGACTGTTACCTGGCCACAGAATTATAATTACCTGCCCTCTGAAATACATAAACAGCAGACGACATGGCCCAAAGAGATGATGAGCAGTCAGGATAGAGGGATTTTGCATATTCCTTAAACATAAAAGAGATCTCATCTTAGCAACAGAAGATTGCTTTTGACAAGCAGCATTTGGACAGCCTTTCTTCTCGCATTCAAATGAAAAGAATCTCTGCCCCCACCACATGGCCAAGAAGGACAGGAAACAGTTCTCTATTCTATTTAGGCCCAAGGATTTTCTATTTTGTTTTCAAAATTTAGTATGTGCCAGGCGCTGAGAACAAGATGGCATTTTACACAGGCACAACGAAGGACAGCACTTCTGTGATAAATGGGACATGCAGCAAAATACTGTAGTGTGAACCAAATGCTCCTGTTCAGGGTGTATGCCAGCCTTTCCAGGACACTCCATTCTGTTCTTTCTCTTCAACAGTTTTCTGTTCCCCACCTCAGCAAATAATAAGTACTCTGTGGCTGAGTGTTTTTTTTTGGGGGGGGGGGTCCTTCCTTTACCCCCCCTTAAAACAATACATGTTTGCAAGCGGGGCGGTGGGAGGCTGATACCTTCCTCTTTTGCATGGATAGTGGTGTTTTGGCAACATAAGTAGTATATTAAATGTGGGAAAGGGCCATAGCCCAGTGAGAGAGCATTTGCTTTGCATGCAGAAGGCCCCAGATTTAATCCCTAGCCTCTCCCGGTAGGGCTGGAAGAGCACTTTCTTTGCAATCCTGCAAAGTCATTGACAGTCAGTGTAGACAGTAGTGAGCTAGATGCACCAATGGTCTGGCTCGATATAAGGCAGCTTCCTGTCTTCCTATGATTCCACCACTTTCTGGTTTTTCAAAATTAATTTCACAATTTGGACATTGACATATTTGGGTTGATGGTCAGCAACCACCCCTTTCTTCCAACTAGAAGTCATAGAGAGCCAAAGGTCCATCTCCAAATGTAAAGATCTAATATTGGTCACTGTGTTGTTATTTTTTAATAAATAAAAAAATAAATTGCATGGATTCCTGGGAGATCTCATTTCCCCCTCTGATGAGCTCCTGTTGCAAGTTGCATGAACAGATCTCACATACAGTGCGGACATGATGTACCGCCTTCCCTTTGGCGCCAACATCCAGCAGAAGAAAAGGCAGGAAAAGATCAAACATGGAAAGAACAGAAGACAGCCGAGTTGCTGCTGCTGTCTGTGCCTAGGAGAGACAAATGAGCATGAGGGAAGGAACGAGGTAGAGGATAATTACTTTCATCCCAGTTTTATTTTTATTCCCACAAATCCCAACCGCTTTTGAAGCCAATTTTCCTTTAATAAAATACACTATTAATGACTCGGAGTGGAAGCCCTTTGTTCAAAACAATACCCAATTCTCCAGATGGAATTGTTTTGCATTCTGGGCAATATACATATATGTATATTTATGAGCATGGCCCCCATTACTCTATTTTGTAAATCAAGTGAGTTATTTAAAAATATGTTGAACATGCTTTCTTCCTTTGAAATTAATTCTTCCTTGGTTCTCCCCCCCCCCACAGCCTCCCCTCTCTTTTAAAGAGAAACTGATGCCAAGGAGAAACAAGAGTGATGGCTTTCCCCATTGTTTCTGGAAGCCATTCATTTGGTATTTCTGTTCATCAGCACTTCGTAGTGAAAGACTATAAAGAGCTACTTGATGCCTCCTGCCACTTAGCACAGATATATACGCACATCTGAAACACTTGGCAAAGGGTTCGCTTTGGTTTAACAGCTTGTGAGAAACGTTGGCTACACATCTCATCCTGTGAACAGATACACTGTAGAACTCACTGAGGGGAGGCAGAGTCAAGCTACCTGCAGGAGAGCTCTCATCCACAGCACTGCAATTTCCCCCAACGCTTCTAGGTTACAGCCCTGCTGTGTCTGGAGAGCAGGGTGTATAGCAGCTCCCAGAAGGGGCGCCATCTTGTCCTCAGGATTGTGGGTGCCCTTCCGCAATGTGGACGTGTGACACCACACACACCTGCACATAGTGTATGTGAAGTCACATGCACAATGGGCAGGCGTGTGCATGTGACGTCGCATGCCCATGTTGTGGCAGATGGCAGCAGTGACTCCTCTTCCTTCTCCTCTCTGCAGCCGGTGAGGCACCCTTTTCCATGGGGAAGGGCTCAGAGTGACTGTCTCCATGTCTGAGTCCCTCACCGAGCCCCTCACTCGCTGGCTGGTTGTGGATGGCGGAGCTGAACTACTTCTCTCTCAGAGGCAGCCCAGCTGCTGCCTGCTGGCTTTTTTCATTGACTTTGTGGGTGCTTGGCTCCCACAATTATATTATTGTGCATGCCCAAACACCCATAGCCCCCTGGAGTTGGCTCCTATGGCTCCCAGAGAGGTCCATTATTATCAAATCATATCCTGCTCTCTTAAGCTGCTCCTGTTGTGACAAATGTACTGCAATGTGTTAGGCTGTGGGTTCTTAACCTTTCTAACTCCAAGGCACAGCTGGGAAAGCTGAAAATTATTTGGGCCCAACAGCCACAAAAGGGTAGTGCAACCTAAAAACTTCCTTTGCATTCCCCATTTGTTGTATATCTTCTTCTTCTTCTTCTTCTTCTTCTTCTTCTTCTTCTTCTTCTTCTTCTTCTTCTCTCTCTCTCTAATTTGCTTCAGCACCTTCTCCAGAGGAGGGAAGATTCTCTTTCCTTGCTTTCTCCTCCATAGTACAGTGGTACCTTGGGTTAAGAACTTAATTCGTTCTGGAGGTCCGTTCTTAACCTGAAACTGTTCTTAACCTGAGGTACCACTTTAGCTAATGGGGCCTCCTGCTGCTGCCGCACGATTTCTGTTCACATCCTGAAGCAAAGTTCTTAACCTGAGGTACTATTTCTGGGTTAGCGGAGTCTATAACCTGAAGTGTCTGTAACCTGAAGCATCTGTAACCCGAGGTACCACTGTAAACTCTTGTCTCTCATTTTCAGCATGTAGGGGCTGCTGGGCTGCTACTGGTCCAACGAAAAGGCTATGTCATAGCTGAGTGAGGTTAGTGAGGAGGCCCTGAGGGAGATATGGCACTAAGGCCTCACTGAAATTGGACAAAGGCCCCAACCCACCGTTGGAGCAGCACTGTGCTAGGCTGTTCATGTCAAGTGAAATTTATCCCATCCTTTACCTAGGTCCTAGGAGCACCCAAAAGGTCATTCTTTCTCAACCCCTCACCTGTCCTGTTGCGGTTCTAGTCCTGAAGAAGGACAAGCTTTCCAAGGGAGAGACATAAGGGAGAGTCCCTGCATGCCTTGAATTGCTCGCCCCTTTTCTTTGAATAACAAATACCCCTAGATACGAAGGATGGCCATGTGTCAGGCTTCACATTCCGCCATTTGAAGGTGTCCTCCTTTTGAAGGGCTGCCTGGTCCAATTGCAGTTTAATGATAAAGAACCATAAGAAGGAAGAGCAGCAGTTTTGCAGCTGCCCATCAACAGTCAGCATATGGACAGCAGATTGAGGAGGCACACTGGTGACCTGGTCACAGCCTTCCCCAGTGTAGTAAGACTTGCTATATTTCTATTTAAATTCCAGCAATAATTTCTCTGTGTGCATCTATACATATAAATGAGCACGCACACATTTTGTTGGTGGCATTTCCACTTCTTCAGATGATATATAAGTAGCCACCCCATCTGCAAGGGTGCATTTGAAACTGTTTAAGAAGCAGAAGCCCAAAGGCCATTTAAAAAAAAAAATCTGGTCCGTATCTTTTGAAAACAAAGGACCATCTATGAATAATGGGAAGGTGATGGGTAATATTAAAAACAGCTATTATTGTAGCAGTTATGATTAGGCAATTATAATTAGAAAATAATGCTGAAAATTCACAGTACAATATAGTTATTTTTAGGGAAGAGGAAGGAAGGAGAGAAGCAATGAAGACACAAGAGACAGTAGTTCTCTTGCAGAAAATGCTCCAGTTGAGAAGAAAATGAGAAAAATAATTCTTCTCCCTGTTAAAATAAAGTTATCCGATCAATTCATAATAGTTCAGGTCAACATGCTAGGTTTCCTCTCATGATGAAATATTTGTACTTGGAACACAGTATTATAGCCCAGGAGAAAGTAATGCAACCAGTTACAGCAAAACAAAACATATGAACAATAAACAGAGCATGCCTTGATGTGAGCAAAAATGCACAAAGGGTTAGAAGGAGGGCATGACTCTAGGTAGAATACTGTTAACACTACTGGAACCTGGCATCGATCCCACTTTGTGAAACTTCATGCCAAGTTTGGTGATGATATCTTGAGAGGCATCCAAAACTATGGAGAAAAAATGGAACAAGCCACTTCCCAAAATATATAGTAGATAGAGAGACTGAGCCTAGATGGGGGCCTATAGCTTAACACTCTAAAGTCCATTGCTCCAATATCAGATCTGCTAAGTGAGCAGCTTGTACCCAAGCTTGGTTCTGTTCTCCCACTGTCCCCCCATCCAGTGACTATGTCTACACACCCACCCCATGATAACACAATTCCCAGTCCAAAGAGGGGGGAATAAGGACAAACCCCTTTCTCCAAATTGATCCTCTTCTTCCAGAAGAATTTTTGTCTATTCCTTTAGCCATTGTTAAGGGCAGCTGCTGAAAAAAAAATCTGCTTACCACCTTTACCAAAGGATAATTAAACCACATGAAGTTTACCTTTACATTACTCAGATGTATTTTCAGTATTGCAGCCTGGTATTAAATGTAGAATTTCAGGTTGCTTAAAAAGCAACACAGAGGCATGTTAAAAATGTAAAATGACAAAGTGGTCTCTACCCTTTGAAATCCTAGGTTACAATAAATATGCAAGTGTTTTGAGTGCCTGAGGACTCTGCCATTTTTACCATAAAATTTATTTACCTATTATGTTCCCTTATTACAGCATGCTTATTAAAGCTAAATTAAAATATGTTTTCAAGCAAAAATGATTGAGTTTGTTTTATGTTAAGAGTAAGACTTCAGCCTTTCAGTGGAAGTGCTTCCAGTCTCTTATTATTTTCAGGTGGGATCTAATCACATATCAGGAAATTCAGATTGCACAATTAAAGCTGAGCAGTGCTCTGGCACAATGAACCCACTCCTCCTCAGAATAGGACTTTCTGCATAAGGTAAGTGATGGTCAAATGCACTGGAAAGTGTGGGATAACAGTGGCTCAACTCAACATCATATAACCTCACTGCAAACAAATCAGAATTTGTTTAACTTCCCCACAAACTCAGCGCAAGTGAATCAGGATGAATGTTCAATAAGCAGGATGTCTTCCAAATAAACATGGTTAGGTTTATTGGGATATAAGAATTGAAACATTGAGACATTGGGATATAAGAATCGCAACCATTAGTCATTTCAACAGCTCACCTAAGAAGAACAAGTAACTGACAAACATAAAACCTAGGACAAACTAATGGAACTGCATTACACCCACAATGAAGGTCTCATGGGTTTGAGTCTGTCAGGAATGAAATCTAGTATCTGCTTATGAGCACTGAAATGCTATCGTCTTTTATACACCTTTAAGAATGGAAATGCTTTTCTGGAGATCTGAACAACCTTCACAAACCTAAGGAGGGGGTGGGGGAAGCAACACCCTAAATGAGAAATATTTCAGCTTCATCCCATTGAAATTAAGAGTTTTCCTTTGAGGCTGCCTGAAGGACCCAGCCTTAGCTTCACTAGATG